GGGGGGGGCCAGTCCCAACCCAGGGGAGGGGGGCACGGGGGGGGGGGGGGGACGGGACTGGTGCAAGGCTCTTATGGGGAAACTTTATTGATACCCCAGAGTGAGAGACTGGGTGAGCCATGAATTTTATCAACATGCTACAGTGAGAGACGGCCTGGTGCAGAAAGAACTTTATGAGCACCCCCGGGTGGCAAACGGGGAGAAGAGCCATCCTGGGCCAAAGGAAGAAGACATTTATCAATGCCCCGAACTAGACAGAGTCAGCCAGCAGGGAGCATCCTTTCAGGGTCACCTTCTGATGGGGAATGCTGACTGTCCTGTATCTAGCTGGATGGAGGAGGAGGGGCTGAGCCCCTGGGATGGAGGGGCTGTCCCAGAGTGGCAGTGACTCTCCCTGGTATGAAACGGAGGCCCTGCATGTTATCCCCCTCTCTCCCACAGGCAATTGGAGGGCTGCTGGAGCCAAATGCATGGGAGGCAGAGTGGGGGGGCTGGGGGAGGGGAGCATGTGCTGAAGCAGTGAGTGGGTAACGAGAGAGGGGGGAGGCGGAGGTGGTGTGAACAACAGGAACGGCAGCAGCTTGTGTCACTTGGTCTCGCGTCAGCCTCCACCTACACACACACGCTGGGGAACACGCGCTCGCACACGGGAGCACGCACTCACATGGGGCTGCACGCTGCACGCGAGCCCCCATGGGGAGTGGGTGCACATGTACCCCTGTGCATTTACTTTGCTGAGATTAGCATGCCAGAGTGTTCCTCATGCAGGGGGAGGAAACGCACCTGGACCGCTCATGCATGCATTTAGCACACCTGGCCATGCACATGCTCCTTTGAGGGAGAAAGAGCCATGCCCTGCATGTACAGGTTGGGTAAAGAACAGCTCCCCTGCTACCTGGGGAGTGGGGGCCTGGGCCTGTCTACATGGGTGGGAGTATTGTCCTGCCTAATCTCAATGTGGAGGGGGAGCCTTTTGTTAGACAGGGGTGTATTGTGTCTGCATGGCTGGGGGAAGGGGGTCCTCATGTGCTTGAGGGAATAGGGTGTGGCCCCACCTGGGTGGAAAAGCTGTTGCTCAGTCCTGGTGGGACAGAAAGACCATGATATTGCCCACTGTGTTGCCAGGTAGAGCTGCCTCCCACTCACCCTGCCTCTTCTTGTCTGCAGGCTGGGTCCCCACGCTCTTCGGCCTTTTTGTGCTGCTGGGGGTCTTGCCCACTGGGGCACCCACCTGCCCCATGCTCTGCACCTGCTACTTCTCGCCACCCACGGTCAGCTGCCAGGCCAACAACTTCTCGTCGGTGCCCCTGGTGCTGCCCCCTAATGCCCAGCGCCTCTTCCTGCAGAACAACCTGATCCGGTCCCTGCGGGCAGGTACCTTCGGGCCCAGCACAGTGACACTGTGGCTCTACTCCAACAACATTTCCTCCATCCAGCCTGGCACTTTCCGTCATCTGCCTGCCCTAGAGGAGCTGGATCTGGGGGACAACCGGAACCTGCGCAGTCTGGAACCAGACACCTTCCGGGGGCTGGAGCGCCTGCAATCCCTGCACCTCTACCGCTGCCAGCTCAGCAGCCTGCCCAGCACCATCTTTCGTGGCCTCTTCAGCCTCCAGTACCTCTATCTGCAGGAGAACAGCCTTATGTACCTGCAGGTGAGTGGGAAAGGGGAGCAGCAACCCCATGGACCTGAGGCAGGGAGGAGGAGGGGCTTGGCCTATAAGGCCTCCAAGGGAGAAACTTTTCCTTCTGAAGGAGGGAAAGAGATGTCTAGAATTTTATTAACACCTTAAAGGACAGGGACATACAAGACACTCGCACAGACAGTGTAGAAGTCCCCCACAGCCAGGACTCATGCCGGCTCCGAGAGGAATGAGCTGATTCTGGGGGAAGGGGGATTGGCTGGCTGGGCATTAAAGAGCATCAGGAAATGAGATGGAGGGCCTTTCCCTTCTAAGAGATGCTGTTTCCAATATGGTTTTAGGCTATTGAAGAGCTGGCTGGCTCAGAGAGCTTCGTAGCTGTGGAAGGAGCCCAGGGTTAGTATAGCTGGGGGCTTTTGGTTGGAAGTGAGGATCACCAATGGGGGTGTGGGGTGCAGGGAGTTGGAGAGACCAGGACAGGAACAGCTTTCAGTGGGTAAGAGGGGATTCTTGGGGCATGGTTTAAGGCTCCCCCCCACTTCCCCAGCAGCTGCTGGTGTGCCATTACCTGCCCCCCCCCACCCCTTCCGCACTCTCCTGCAGTGGAGGGCCGCTCTGTTCTGTGCCAGCCAGCTACTCTACAACCACAAGCCCATCCGGGCGGGCACTGCGGCTGGCCCACAGCAGGGAGCAGCCTAGCCCTGCAGCCCACACTGGCTGGAGGGGGAGGGGCAGGACGAGATCATCATTGCTGCAACCTTTCCACCCCATCCGCTGCCTGGGGGGAGGGGAGACACTGCTGCAGGGATGGGGAAGCTGGCTTAACCTTAAGGGCTCTATCCCACCTGCCTGTCTCCCTCCCCTCAGGATGACCTGTTTGTGGACCTGGCCAACCTGAGCCACCTCTTCCTGCATGGCAACAAGATCCGGCTGCTGTCAGAGAACGTCTTCCGAGGATTGTGGGGCCTGGACCGGCTGCTGCTGCATGTCAACCGGCTGCACTCGGTGCATCGCTGGGCCTTCCGTGACCTGGCCAAGCTCACCATCCTCTATCTCTTCAACAACAGCCTGGCTGTGCTGCCAGGGGAGACACTGGCTGACCTGCCCTCCCTGGAGTTCCTGCGCCTCAACAATAACCCCTGGGCCTGTGACTGCCGTGCCCACTCTCTCTGGGCCTGGTTCCAGCACACCCGGGTCTCTAGCTCGGACGTGACCTGTACCAGCCCCGCTGAGCACCGGGGCCGTGACCTGAGGCGCCTCAGCCAGGCTGATTTCAGGGCCTGCCCCCCTGCCAACCATAACCATGCCCCTGCCCGGCCTGCCCCAGGTACCAAGCCCAAGTGGGGTGAGGAGGCTGTGGCTGGACGTCCCAGAGGCAATGGTTCCTCCAACCACCTGTATGGGCTGGGGGAGGTTGGGGCACCCCCAGCTGACCCCTCCTCTTTCTACCGGGACCTGCCGGCCAATGATATCCGCAGCCCCAAGTACGACTCTCCCACTGAGGATGACTACTGGAATGGCTATGGCAATGAAGAGGGGCGCCTCAAGGAGGGTTGCACAGGTGCAGCCTGCTCCCCGCTGGACTCTGGGGCCCGTCGACCAGGTGCGCTGTCCACAGCCCTGTCCTGCCTAGTGCTGCTGCTGCGGTCCCTCCGGCTCTGACTGGCCCCTGGCAGACTTCTGCGGACTAAGGAGACAGTGCATGCAGGGCTGGGGCACAGGCCCCTATCAGTTGACTGAGGGAGCAGAGGGTTGGGCGTACTTGCAGAACTCATGGGCAAACTGCTCTCCCTAGGGCACATGCTGTTGCTGCTTGGATGGGGATTGGATGAGCCAGGGAATCCTTTCCTTGCCCCTACCCCCCATACCCATCAGTAGGCCCTGAGATGCCAACGTGCTGTGGGGCCAGCACGTTCCATCTGATACTCCCTCACGTATCCTAAGGGCCTCCCCATTTCATGTCCTTACACTGGTTGTCCTCATTAATGCTGGTGCAGGCTGTACTCTTTCCCCCACCCCCTACCACCAAGATGGGCAAGGGAGATAAAGGTCCCCTGCCCCTGGCTGCGGAGGCTCTAGGTTGGAGGTGAGGCAAGGTCTAGCTGCTCTCTACCATCTTCTTCCCTGCCTGCAAAGGGTGCTAAAGTCTAATCTGTTGAAGTGAGGGGGGGATATGGGAAGGAGTAGTGTCCCTTCACCTACCCTAAACGCTATCCTGCCTCTTTCCCCCCCCCCCCCCCCCACATACAAAGGAGAATTCCAGCCTGGCTGCCTCCTGGAGAGGGAGGGAGCATCATCCCCCTCTGATTCAACTTGCCCTACCCACCCTGGTGTGTCAGGGGGCTGGCAATGGCCTGTGAGACTTCAAGGCCCCTATCATCCTATCCGCAGCTCCCACACTCTGCAGCCCTGAGCCCATGGTCTCCCTGCAGGCACTCTGTTCCTGTGCTGAACGTTTCTTTTTGCTCCCCTCCCTCTTCCTAAGAAGCAAAAAAAAAAAAAAAAAAGGGAAAAAAAGGTT